ACCAACCACTGCTCCCAGTGCAGAGGGCTCCTCCAGAGGAAACACTGGGTACACTAAAAACAATATAATAACAATACAATATGTAAAACACAAAACTGTGAAACTAAAATGAAACTAAAATGAACTAACACACAATACATGAATAAAAGCAATAGCAATACAATAAATAATAGAGGATAAATAGAATATATAAAATGAAATAGTAAAAACTAATCAAAAGCTAATCTAAAAAGGTGCGTCTTGAGCCTGCTTTTAAAAATATGAACGTTCTCTGCGGCCCTGAGCTCCTCCGGCAGACTGTTCCAGAGACGGGGGCCGTAGTGCTGGAAAGATGCCTCACCGTGAGTGTGTGTCCTGACTTTGGGGATGGTTAGAAGTCTGCTGCCGGAGGAGCGCAGGGGCCGGGAAGGTTCATAGGATAAAAGCAAATCTGAAAGATAAGAAGGCCCAAGACCATTAAGACATTTAAAAACCATTAAAAGAACCTTAAAATCGATCCTGAAACACACGGGGAGCCAATGCAGCGATTCTAAAACCGGTGTAATGTGGTCCCGCCCCCTGGTCTTAGTCAGGACACGTGCGGCCGAGTTTTGGAGTAATTGTAAACCTGAAATGTTCTTTTTGGGAAGACCAGAGAGCAGGGCATTACAGTAGTCAATGCGACTGGTTATAAAAGCATGCATCAGCGTCTCCGTGTTGCCCCGAGAGAGAATGGGGCGGACTCTGGCAATGTTCTTTAGATGATAAAAACCTATTTTTGTGATGTTCTTGATGTGAGGAATAAAAGTCAGCTCAGAGTCAAAGATTACGCCCAGGTTTCTCACTTGTGATGATGGATTAAAAGAGTGTGATTGGAGTTTTGATAAAAGTTTCTCTCTCTGGGCCTCAGGACCGATGACTAAAACCTCAGTTTTGTCCTGGTTAAGCTGGAGAAAGTTTTCTGCCATCCAGGATTTCAGGTCTAAAATGCAGTTAAAAAGAGCATCCATTGGCCTGGTGTCATCAGGAGATATGGAGATGTACAGCTGAGTATCATCTGCATAACTGTGGAAGTTAATTCCATGTCTCCTGACGACACCGCCAAGAGGGAGCATGTACAGGTTAAAAAGGACTGGACCTAAAATGGAACCCTGGGGCACACCACATGTGATTTTATGGACCTGAGAGGAGCAGGTATCCAAACTTACCATGAAGGATCTGTCTGTTAAATAAGAAGTGAACCATTTGTGGACAGCACCAGAGAGGCCGAGGTGTTTCAGGCGGGATAAAAGAATGGTGTGGTCTACTGTGTCGAAGGCAGCGCTTAGATCCAGTAGAACCAACACGGTCACCTTTTTAGAATCATAACTTAGTCTAAAATCATTTAAAATCTTTAAAAGAGCAGTCTCTGTGCTGTGGTTCACCCTAAAACCTGATTGAAATTTCTCTAAAATTTGTTGCTGATCTAAGAAGGCATTGAGCTGGGTAAAAACAAGTTTTTCTAAAATTTTGCTTAAAAATGGCAGGTTGGATACCGGTCTATAGTTGTTAAAATCATTAAAATCTAAATTGCTCTTCTTCAGAAGGGGTCTCACCACAGCCGCTTTGAAGGCTGCAGGAAAGACCCCAGTCTGCAGAGAGCAATTCATCAGGTTTAAAAGCTCCTCTCTAAAAGATTCATAAAATGACTTAAAAAATGTGGGGACTGGTGGGGACTGGATCTAAAAGACATGTGGTGGGCCTCACTGAGGAGAAAACTTTATCAAGCATCTCAGCATCAACCAGGACAAAACTGTCCGTGTTTCCTCTGGTGAAAACAAACAATCAGATGTGTTAAAAACAGTTGTGCGGTTGGATAAAATGTTACATCTGATTGTGTTTATCTTCCCCGTGAAGTGGGCTGCAAAATCCTCACAGAGGGAGTCTGTGGGGGTTAAAAGAGACATGCTAAAATCAGGGTTTAAAATGGTGTCGATGGTTGAAAAGAGGACTTTTGGGTTATTTTTATTTTGGGTGATTAGCTTTGCAAAGTATTTGTTCTTATGATTTCTAGTTGTGTTATATTATCCGTATGTCTGTGGTCTGTGCCACGACTCAAGAGACAAACTCCCGTAGTATTGTGCAAGAGTTCAACGTGTATTAATACTTTTGCGAGGCAGTGTATCTGACCTCATGTCAATCTTACAGCATACACTTTTGACATTACCTCAATACATCCTACTCCTGATTATACATCTATACAAAATCCTGGTTGTAAACTGAATGCATGCACAACTAGGTCAATGTTCTTTTGACCTCAAATATCAGCGCTACCCAACACATACATATACAAATTCATGTTCTGCCTCTCACACTTTTTCAGAACTCTTTACTTTCTAGGACCTTGCAATTTAAAAGCAATTTAAATGGCTTCTCTCCCCTATGAATCACTCTTCTTTTTTGTGAAGAACATAGCATGTCTGGATAATACTAGCTGGAGGAAGTGACTGTTTCATTTTGCCTGTGTCCTCCTCTGTGTTTCCCTGGTGGCTTGTGATGAAGACGCGCCGTAATTGATTCAAAGCTTAAGTCCGCGGCCCCAGAGAGAGCTTGGGTTTCTTCAAGTCTATACTGAAAAAGATGTGAGGGTAGACACCAGAGAATCCATTTGATTATGTTTGGGGATGGATACTGAAGCATAATCTCAGAATTTGGGGTGCTGTCCACAAGATGGCGCTGTGGAGTGGTAGAGGTTGGGTTTGGATGAGTGTTGAGAGCTGGGAATCTGGTGGTTTTATAGGGAGGGGGAGGGAAGGCCTTGCTACTGCAGAAGATTGGGTTGTATTTTAGCACCAGAATATGAAGAATCTTGCATGGTCGAAAGCTTTTCATTTCCTGTTAGGTATCGGTTTTATCAGGTCAAGTTAGTTGCATCAGTTGTTTCCTGCAAGATCACTGCAAAAACATAAGCTCATCGAGTTGAGCACTTTCTAACTTTGATGTTCATTTCACTTCTCTGTCTTGCACAAATGACTATAGTGTGTTTTTGAAGTGCATAATACAGACCAACCACTTTGCTTCCGGCTTTTTGCCCTTCATGTGGCTATAAAACATATTATTTGTACATTTTAGTTTTTGGTTGATCGTCAAAAGAAGTCTGAGAAAAGTCCCTTGTGATATTGTTAATATTAATCTCTCTTATCCTTGGACTTTTCCACCCATATTCAGTCTTCAAGAACCTCTTAAAATGATTATGTTAAACATGTTAAAAGCGGCCGGTTTGACTCACTCTTTAAACTTGATTTTGTGTAAGCCCTTGTTTAGTTCTGGCCTATATTCAGACTTCCCCTCGCCGCCATGTTCTCTACAGTGGTTGTCACATAAAGGAAATAATCTTTTTGATGGGACAACTGGGTCATGCTCTGATTCCAAACAGTTGGAAAACAATGCCACATGCGGAGAACTGAACAAGCACAAATCTTTTCTCTTTTTTTTTTCACGAGCAGGAATACCCCTCCCCATTTCCTTTCCCTGGTGGCCAAAAATAGACGTACTGTAGATTTATGTATCATGGTAACAATTATTCTTTCATTTCAGGCTTCTAATCTATAGGATAATTTTGATGGTATTATACTGAAGAAGCAGGTACTTGCTCAGGTTTATTTTATGTAGTCCAAATGGAGTGTTTCTCAAATCAAATGGTGTCCAACCCACTTTCAACATGTAACACAAAGCGGACTGAATTTAGTGTATACATACTTTTTTTTTTTAGACAAAATAGATATTAAACATTGTTGAAATGAATCAATTTGTCTTTCAAGATATCTGGCAGTGAAGGAAGTTTTACATTTTATCATGTGATCATTTTCTTGTGTAGTTTTCAATGGATTTTTATCTAAAAACTATTATGGACAGAATTATTTATTAATCATACTTTCATAAATTTCTTATTTTCATTTTATTTCTAGATTACGTTTTATGTTGGGGAGTTGATATATGTTGCCTATAGGAAAAACTTGCGACCCACCAGTTGAGAACCAGCGTGCCGCAGAATTTTGAAAGGTGCAAGGTGAATATAATTGAATATGGCTGGATGCACAAAATTATGGACCCACAGATTGCTGCTGTTATGCAGTTATTTCAGTGATAGAAGACTCACTTTTATCTTATACATTTTTCACGTACATTTTGATATTGCACTGATAGACTATAGCCATTAGCAGCCATCCGTTTTACCATTCTATTAGTGGATGTTGGCCTTTCTCTTCACTCTTTCCCTCAGAATCCAAAAATAGCCATACATCCACGTGCCAGCCATGATCATCCCATCAACCTAAAGTTAGTATTCCTCAAATACATGATGAGACAGACCCTTCCCCAGAGAGAGAGAGAGCGACAGACAGAGAAGCTTTTGCAGACTGGCATTTGCTACAGGGAGAGAGAGAGAGGGAGGGAGAGAGAGAGAGAGAGGGAGGGAGGGAGGGGGCTGGTAGACTGGAGTGCATTTGGTATTCAGCCTAGGCTAGTATTTATCTGTCTGCTGGCTGTCTGGTCTGGTCTGCCCTGTTAGTGGTGTCACCCGGCATGCTCCCCAGGGGTCTAAATTGACACGGTAGACAGACAGTGCGTGTGTGTGTGTGCGCGTGCATGTGTGTGTGTGTGTTTGGCTGTTTAGAGGGGTTCATGGACAAGAGGTTGTCTGGATGCGGTGCTTGGCTAACTGGCTGGTTGTGTGTTTTATATATTTATGTATGGGTAAATATTGGAATGACCTCATAAATGGTCACACTAAACAGTGCACCTTCTGGGCCCTGGACAGTTGTATATTGTGTTAATAAAAGATGAGTTCATAGCATTTTGACAAAGGGACAATTCATGGAGCTGGAGCTGTCTAGTGGGATCATTGTAAAAGCACAGCGCACATATATACAAACAGCAAAAACACACAGTCCATAAAGTTAGACAGAAGCAACATGGAAATCTATTAGTTTTTATGAGTGGGATTTGAATACGTTTGATGATGGGCAACATATAAAGTCATCATGCGAATAGGGGTCAGCACTGAAATCACAGATAAGGGAAATAATGAGGCCATCAGTGACAAATGCACTGTCAAAGTCAGACACAGGTCCTGACACAATGGAATGGAATCCCTGGCAACTGTTGTAAAATTTAACAATCTGAGTACTGAGTGACATGGGCTCAGATAAATAACTTGAAGCAGAGAAAATATAGTATTTGGAAGTTAGACAAGCTTAACCAAAACAGTAGAGTTTGTTAAATCCACATTATAACTTATATTAAGTTAATTTACCTTTATTGTAGGACTAAGACCTCTGTCTGTAGCACCGATAACCACAGTGTAGGCTGGGGCACATCTTCAGAAGGTGATGCTCGCTTTGGTCAGGACCATTGGAGGATATTGCCTATTGTATTATCTTGTTATTGTCAGGGGAAACCGAAGCGCCTGGAGGAAACCTACACATAGGGAGAACACACAAATTTCACTCAAAAAGGGCCTGTTTCAAAAAGGTGAAAGTTGAGCCATATTTTATAAATCTTTATCTATATATTTTTTAAACTAACAAAGTATATTTTTTTCTTATAAAGATAACATTTGCGGTCCTCTCTTTTTCACTTTTCAGTCTGAGAAAGCTGATCTAAAGATGCAGAGGACACAATTACATGCATAGGAAAATTAGTGATAGAATCAAAGTGCCCGGAAATAGTTACATTGATTATATTACACATGTTTGTTGTTTCAGAGTTAGGTACTACAGCTTTAATTCAAACAAATTCCATCAAGATCATGCCCAGTTAGTCTCTCAGCACAGTTTTTTAAGTCATGTGACCACAGTTCTAAGAATTCTGCAACCAGAGAATGTGGAAATCACTCAATCAACCACAGTTCAATGTAACACAGTGTAAAGCATCTCTGAGAATCCTGAAAAGCGCTTCATAACTACAACGTATTTTGAAATTTTGAAACATCAAAAACTAATGCTTTCAAACGCCTTTTAAGAGTTCAATATAAGATAAACCTTTAATATCATCTGAATTATTGCACGATTTGAAGTAGATTATCTTCCATATGACACTGGGAAGGACAGTTATGGATGTGGTGTCCAAGTTTAGATACTCATATAGCGGCAGTGGCAAAAAGGCAGAACGTATATCATGATGATCACTGCCTTCGACCCCATGATTCTAAAAGGACATTCCTCTCCATGTTGTTGCTCTCTTTGATGCGACTGCAGGGGCTCAATTTGTTCTTTCCGTAAATGACGACAGCTGCCAGACACTTTCTAAATTACATCAGGGTCATGCATCTATTTCCCTTCTCCCCTCTCTCTCTCTCTCTGCTAGTGTCACTTCACTCATGGGCTGGAGTCAAGGAAAATATTGTGCGTGATGGGAAGTGGAAGTTGGCTAGTGATGCGAGGCTTAATGCACAACATCTGTCAGAGGTCCTTGCTTTTCCCATGTACTTATTTCCCTTCACAGAGGTCCGTTTTGCGTTTATTGCTGTTGGTTACCAGCTTTTTAGAATAACGTGTTAAACTCCCGCCAGGTTTTAGTATTCAAGGCAAGGCGAGTTTGTTTGTATGGTTTGTACTCATACACAAGGCAACTCTAAGTGCTTTGAAAAACAAGAAAAGTACACTTGAATCATACAAGTACACAAACAAGGACATTACAATCATGAACAGATAACAACATAGATAATCAGAGTACACACAATAGAAGCCTGTCTCACATGTTCAGGAAAACTGCTCCAGGTTTTAGATAACTTCATAAATCTATGAAAAGATAAATACAATGAAATACATTTGAAATTCTGACTCCTCATGCTTAGTCCTGACTCTGCATTTCAGGTGACCAGTCCCTGTGCTCCTCAGAGTTCCAGAAGGAGGCTGGTCCCTGTGCTCCTCAGAGTCCCATAAGGAGGCCAGTCCCTGTGCTCCTCAGAGTCCCAGAAGGAAGCTGGTCCCTGTGCACCTCAGAGTCCCATAAGGAGGCCGGTCCCTGTGCTCCTCAGAGTCCCAGAAGGAAGCTGGTCCCTGTGCTCCTCAGAGTCCCATAAGGAGGCCAGTCCCTGTGCTCCCCAGAGTCCTAGCAGAAGGCCAGTCCCTGTGCTTCACAGATTACTTAGTTCATATGGCACCAACATGTCGCAGATGTATTTCGGTGTGTGACTTGTTCACAGGCAAAGCTGCTTTAAAGTCTACTCTCTGAGCCACAGGAAGCCAGGGCAAACCACACAAGTTTCAGTCAAACGTTAGAAGTATTGTTTATGTATAGATCTAAAAAGCTCTTTATATTGCTGCAGGTTGTTGGCAGTTGAAAAAGACGCTTTGTTCCATGCATGATATGTGAAACTGTTGATATGCTGTTAGCTTGGGAATGTTATGGAGAGTGAGAGCTGCAGGGTTAAAAAAAATTCTGAAAGCATTCATAAGTAATATATGTGAAATATTGTATGTTCAGGTCCATGAAACACTGAAACACTCAGCTCTTTATATTGGTGCTTTACTTAGAAGAGAGTTCTCAACTTCTGACAGCAAGAGCTTGAGATAATATGTTTCCTGCACAGTAGCCAGTCATGAAGCAAGTTCCTTGTGAAGTCACTTGTTGTGTTTAAATAAAAAGAAATCATTTTCTAAGATTTGGTGTTACAAAAACGTTCTACGTTTGAGCACTTTAAAAATACGTTATGAATGTTAGAAACTGTGAGCGCTTACTAATGTGTGCTATAGGGGCCTGGGCCTGCCTGACGTCCTAGAGAGGCTTTCTCCGATTTGAACAGCCTGGTTTATTTATAGACTGCAGACAGTTCTGGTTGGAGAGCGTGTGTGCGTGTGGGGTGTGTGTTCCGCTGTTAGGCTCACAGAGGAAGTGTTGCTGCTGGAGGAGGTGGGGGTGACGGGGGTCTGGCCTCTGTGCTGCACATGTGCCCCTGAACCACAGCCTGTGCATGGGGTCAGCTCAAGGTTAGCCCCTTCAAAGTGCCGTCTCCATTGGCTATGTCCCGCAGTAACAAGGGAGTGAAACTCGAGGCGCCCTCCACCCCATCCCTCCCCAAATAGCGCAGGGTGCCGGCGATGGTCCCTCTTGCCGGCCCCCTCCCTCCCTATATCTCCGCTGCTCTGCTCTCATTGCCATTGTCAGTGCGCGACCTGGCCGTCTGCTCGCTCTGAGCCAGGTCAGATCCCCCCCACATCTCCTTTCCTCTGCCCCAGCCATGTGCACCCTCCCTCCCCAAGCACTCACAGACATACAGTACAAGTCCTGTCCCATCCCTCACTTGGTGCTGCATTCAGGGCCAGCTCGGGCGCCCCAGTAATGTTCCTATTACACGAGTTAGTAACCAGCTCACAACATCAAAAGACTTACTATAAACCAGCATATTATTGTTATTACATTTAGAAATTATGCCTACATAATGGTATGGTGGTCTTGCGTTCTGTCAATGTATACTGCAATATTTTTAGATGCATGGCTTGTTTTTTGCACTTTGTATCTGATATAACTGTGCACAAACCCTACACACTAATAATAATAATTAATTAAACATTAAACTCTGAATGTCTATTGTATCTCAAACCTGCTTTGAAATTATAGCGCATCTGAAGCATCAGATGTATAATTTCTGCATTTGGGAATAGCCAGCTTGGACAATATGCAATTAATTCTTTCTGTAGATAATATATGCAAGAGCTCTCATGAATATTAACTACAGCTGATTCCAGACAGCATTGCACCAAGCCTGGTCTATGCAGAGGGGCCCTAAGCAAACAAACTCAGCTCATTATTCATGTAAATATGCTATGGTCCAGACAAACAAATGTGAAGATAGTTGGTCATAGTCTGGGTAATCTATTTTACATCTGTGATAAAGGAATGGGGAGCCTCTTTATGTCACTGTTGTTTTAAGTAATGCTTGGATCATGTGCAGTGTCTTGGGTTATTTGAACTGCTCTAGGCTCAGTAACATTGCTTTTTATGAGTGCCTCATTATGAGAAACAATCTCTCATTATATGTCTGTCGTTGTAGCCATTTCTGATATATATTCTGGAATCCCCTGCTAGGGGCATTTATTTTTCATGTGCTTTTCTTAAGTGCAATTATGATTTAAAAGAGTTTTCGCTGTGATTGCCACTTGTCTATCGGGAGGTTGTTGTCCTCCTACTTTGTATAATAATGTACTACAATGACATTTCTCCACTGTGTTTAATAAGATGCTTGTATATTTTCCTTACACATCTGTAATAGTTAACAAATACAGTAGTATCATCACAAAGAGCCCACAGAGATAGTTATTATTACTTCAATAGTCTTGCATGAGAGTGTATTAGCGTTGTAGCTATCAAGTATTGCCTTGCGCTAAAGTACACAGGTTTATACTTTGCATTTTATAAATTGTTTATTTAGCAGAAATGTATGTATCACTTATAATTTTTTTTGTTTGCATGCTCCCCATTCCTACTGTTCTGTAACATGTGGTGCAATTCTGAAATATCCTTAATGTGGGACGAATAAAGTATCTCTGAATCTATCATCTTAATCTTAGACCACTGCTTGTTTGTCATTAGGTCAATGTCAATTGGAACAGTACACATCCATGTATCAGTGTATACATGTATATAGTGGTATAGCGGTGTATTCTGTAATAATAGAAATACAGTATCAAAACAGAATGAATAAATACTAAACTGTGAAGCCTCTGTAGTTCTAGAGAAGCCTGCGTGAGCGTTTTTCCAGCCTACATTATGCGCAGAAAGTGTGGCTGAGTCACTCTCGAGTTTTAGAAAGTGGAATCACTGCCTGACTCACGTATGTGCAGAAAAGGCCAGACTTTCCCAGTTTGGTGGGAGGTGTCAAACTGGGGACTGGGTCAGGAAAATCTGTCCATTCCGTGCTTTCGTGAAGGCAGCACCGCTCTCGCTCTTGAGTCTGGCCCTCCTGCGCTGTGCCCTGATTGGCTGTGGCGCACGTCTCTCTGTTTGGAGGCGGGCCCCAGCGCGCAGGGGTCTGCTGTACTGTGGCAGAGGGAGGACAGCTGCTCTCGCGGTGGAGGAAGGAACGGGAAAAAAAACTCTACAATGCGTTTGTCAAATGCAGTGGCTGTTCTCCGAATCTGCTTCTGAGCCAGTCCTTGAGCGACACCACTACCACAATGGCGTGAGATGAGCTGGAGAGGCGAAGTCCCAAACTGTGTGGAGTAACTCAGCAGCGGCCGCTCTGTGCTGCCGCTGCCTGGAAGTTTTTTTTGTTGTTTTCTCATCGGGGGGCCGTGGCGGTGGCTGCGGCTCTCTCCCCGGAGCGGTGTCCAGCTCTGCCCAGCCCCATGCAAAACCTAACGGCCCCTGGAGGCCCAGCAAACTCCAATGTCACCTGCTCCTGCAACTGCACCGCTTCCCAGCCACAGGGAATGGAGATCTGTGAGTAGTCACCGTGAATGCGCTCCTTCGTCTCTCCCCTTCTGTCGCCCTCTCTCCCCGCCGACTTTAGTTATAGTTAATCGGGTTTTTGGGAACTCTTAGACGTCGGGACAGAAGGACAACAAATCAGACTTCATCCAAGACGTGGCTCGTACTAATTCCTGTGCTTAGTTCGTGGCTGTCTGAATTATTATTGAGTATTTGGACAGTAGCCGCGCTCGGCAAACTTAACAGTCCCATATAGAATCAGTGGTGCGCTTTGGACATTTTCCATATCATGCGTAAAAGTAGGCTACTGGACTAATGAGCGGTCTAATCCCGGAATCAATTATTCAAACAATATTCTTGAATGTAGAAAAGTTATTTCAGACTTTGACTCTTGGTGGATCACCTCCAATTTACTCAAACGGTGTACATTGAAATACAATAAGTAAGGCGTTGATAAAAGTTGGACAAACAGTCACATTATGGGTATATATTTGCATGGGTATTGAATATGTTGAACTTTTGCTCAGTGGTAAAGGTTAATAATAATAGGATAGTCTTCTGAATTACTTACTGTTTTATGACTCCACCGATGTCATAAGGAAACTTAAAAATGGATCCAGGCTTATTTCTTCCTTAAACATGTGACAAAACGCCACCCCCATTCATGTTGGCTACAATTTCAATATCTTTGCATTTCAATAGTCTGTCTGTATTGTATTAAAAGTAAGCATGTATTATTTATCATTTGCTTTATTTGCTTGATTAAAAAATGGACACCAGCTCTGGCTTCCTTTTAGAACTGTAGTTTTATCCTTGGACCAGTAGTGTAACTGTGAGCAGTGCAGACAGCGCATTTGAACTTGAGCCAAAGTAATGGGGTGGGGGCCACAGAGAGCTGGCTTTGATATACTCACTCCTTCAGACTGCGCGAATATACATTACTAAATTGTCACAAAAAATCCTTATAAAAACCAGAAACTGAAAGAAGAAATGAAAATGAAGAAGCTTCCTTATGCAAAATGTATGCAACTTCTCTGTCTACACCAGGGTCCAATTAACTCCAACTTGAGCACTTTACTTTTCTCTTTTACAGTACTCCAGTCTTTCTCCAGTTTTAGGTTTCTCATTTTCCTCTTGGCTGCGTTCCCTGCCATATGGACTAGTTTTATATGAATACAGGGAGATTTAGCCAGCATTGTAGGGCTCTGGCTCTGGCATAGTAGCATGTGTGTGTACGTGCATATGCTTAGACGGAATGATCACCACATAGGGTTAAATAGTTTGCCCGACAGCATAGACAGGAAACGCTGGAATGGTATGTTATGTCTGTCCGCTGAGAGAGAGAGAGGGAGAGAGAGGAACTATCATTATCAGCTTGAGTCCTAATGCTATACTATATCCACAGCAGATGTCGCTTTTTTATGAGTGAGGGGCAGAGAAAGACAAGCAAGACTGTGGTTTGAGATGGATCTGGACCGGAGAGATATTATTGTGGCTTGACAACACTATGTCCTGGTCACATTGACACAAGGAAGGAGAAACTTCACTTTTAATACAGACTGCAACACCAACACCATAGAAAAGTGTAGACTGAAGACCAGACTGCTTCGACCAGACATGCCTTGTTGATCCCTAGTTGGGGTGACATAAGCTCTTAAAACTTTGCAAAACAATTAAAGCAAGATATAATTATTATTAATATTATTATTACTATTATTATTATAGTTTTGTCTGCCTTACAATTAATATAAATGTTGTTAATTCTCTTACGATTGCGATTTTCTTGTATAAATCCTAAGATTGTACAATAATCGGTCGACTATTACATATTATCACAACTAATTACCCTAGAAAAAGTGTCTGTTTTGAATTCATAAAAAAAATCTGAAAAATAGTTTGTTCTATTATTATTTTCTTCAATGTAAAGAGAAAGTTTGGACTAAGTTTTGCAAAAGTGATCTACTTATGTACTGTAAAGCCAGAAAATGTTGGTGAATTGATTATAATAATTCATGTTTTTCACTATGTTTTGAAAGGGTGACAGTGTGGACGTCAAAAAGCACAGGAACCACTTAAGAAACATCACTGAACAGCTATTTATTTAACATTAATGATGGCAACACTTTGCTTGAGAAACTGCCACAATATCCTTGTTAACTGAGTATATATTTAGCATTTTATGACATGTATATTTGACACTTTCTTCCACATCCAACCCAGTTTAATTGTATAGCATGTGTTATAATCCAACAGTTTCCAAAGTGCAGCACAAAGACAAATGAACGATATAATTCACACAGACGACATTTTAATACTATCACCTTGTATGAAAGTTCTAATTATCACATGCCAGTAAATCGCCCCTCCCTTCCCATAATTGCAAGGTTTGGCATTTGTCTGCGGAGTGGCTGTTGTTTACATACACCTGCGTTCCGAGCGCTTTGGAATCCTCTCATTTACAATGCGTTCCACATCACTTCTCCTGTCTCACTAGTCACCAGTTTATGGGGAGCTTCTTTCTTTCACGAGTGGTTTGAAATCGCAGCGTGCCGCGGTGTCGTGGCCGTCGTCTGGTGAAAAGGGCCCTGTTTGTTGGCTGTGTTGTCATGCAGACTCGGCAAGGCTGAATAATGTAGCTCATGCTTTGATGATTTCTCTGGCTCAAGAAAAAAGCTACAGTCTGGCTTTTTTCCCCCCTTTTTTTCCCTTTTTTTGCAGAGCGGGCGGTCTTGCTGCTGTGTTTCTTCTTTATTCAAGACGAGGAGGAAAAATTGAAAAGGACTAAGAACATAGAAGGATCACAAAGGAGCTTGGAGCTGATTTAGCCCTGGTCTCAGATCTGGTATAGGAGTACAGACTCCAAACAAGTGTAGGGCATGGGCACCTCCATTTGGTTTTGGTACCACTACTTTTATACCTTGTCTTTGATACCTGTTCCTCTTTATTTCAATCAACTGCGGGTGGTGATGTTGAAATGTGTTTCTTTTTTGGGGAAAAAGGGTCACCCAAAAATCTTGGCAACAGAAAACCCATATCGGTCAATCTCTAGTCCCGATGTTGCACCTGGTTTATATTCCTGCAGTTTGTCGCATTTAGCATGTGCTTGTTATTACATCTTCTGTCAAATTGTTTCCCTATGTGTGTTTTTCTATCTTTAGGTTTTTTTGAAGTTTTTTGGCCTGTTGTGAACTTTGGGTATTTTTACGCCAATATTCCAATGTCGTTTTTAACATTAGTTCTTCTCTCTCCATTCCATCCTTAAGATTGTTATCTGCAATGCTAAAGGCACACCACTGGTTCTGTATGCCTTGGGTAAATAACTTTTGTATTAGGGCAAGACATCCCCATCCAATGTTACAGTAAAAGCAAACTGCATTACCTTCGCACACAGATGCGTACAATCTGTGCCACTAAAAGTGAAGGTGCGGTTTTATGAAGTCTGGAGGTCGTTACTTTAGCGCCTGGTACGTGCTAAGACAACCTGCGTGGATCAGGTGTGCGTCTGGTGTCGGCTTTGACCCACTGAGATACTATGTGTGAAGCTGGAGTCCTCGCAGGGTGACACCATGCAAACATTTTCCACTCTTAAGTCATTTAATCTACTATTGACTCTTGGTCCTTTCGGGGCCGCCCTGCTTTAAACAAGTGGGGAAATCTTATATGCCAGCCGCGTGAGGTCATTTCACTTCATGCCTAAAGCAAACACACCTTTTCCTTTTTTTAATCAAGACTTGTCATTTTAGCGCTCAAGCAATGAACCTAGAAACTGGAAGACTAACCCTTTTACATGAACTCATTTTCCCCATGGAATATATAAAACTTTACTTCATGTGTGCTTTGATTCTGACATTTGGAGACTTCGGTTTGTACAGTGCCTGTGTAACAAAAAAATAGAAAAGCAGAAAAAAAAGATAGATATTGGCGATTTTAAGTTTTCAAATGGCTGCACATAAGCTCAAGATTGTTTCACAGCCTGATATTTGGCTCAACTTGTTACTTAATTATTTACTTGTGTTATTTTAAGGGGAGGGCGTGGGCTGTCTGACTGTTATTGCACCATTAATGTGTTGGCGACATTTTAGGCTGTCTACCAAGGTCTGTCTCGGAGTGTTACTGACAAATATTTCTCAAACACAGAACTTTGATGATTACAATATAAAACTGAGAATGTCTTGTACTCATTTTTTTTATTTTTGTGGTGATATAAAGGAGAGAACTTGAATGCCTGTTTGAATCTGCCCTTCGGTGCTGGAAGCATGCAGCCTCTTGGACAGAGTCGCAGTCTATCTATGCGTGAGCCTGTATTATTAGCCCTGTGTTAGTGGTTAGCCTGCGGCCATGTCCAGCCAGACAAATTCAAACTGCCTGATCTGTAATCCTGTGTATGAGCACTGTTGGCAGAGGTACCTCTGGAGTTATCTCACACACACACACGCACACACATGCACGTTGACACACATTTTTGGCGTCATGTGTCTTGTGAGGACGTTAAACTTAAAGAGGAAGTGTCACGCATTATTCCTGTTTATTTTGATCCTTAACCATGACAATATTTCCTTTAGCATTTCCTGTTTTAGCGTGTGAAATAGTCTAACAAAAGTCTTGGTGGAAGTAGGTAATTGCATCCTGCTATTACTGAATATTAAACATCTAACATGTACAATGCTATTGAAACCATGCAGACGTAACCTAAACTTATCTGGAAAGGAGAAATGAAAGTTCTTAATAGCACTTTCCTTGAGGTCATGACATGGATTTGTCATAGCAAGTTTAAAAAAGGGAGTATTTGGATAAAAGGGGCGGGGGAACATGTCAGTGAATACTAGTTAGAGCTAAATACAACACTCGGTATGCATTTTGAGGGATCAAAGTTGTAATTGGGTTAAAAACTAGAAAAAGGTTTGTGTTCTTTATCTTATGCCCTTAACCTTCTCTTCTTAGACCGGATCTAACGCGGGCCTGAACTATGACTTAACTGGTTTATAATACGAGTAACGCAAACAGGGATTTAA